TTGTTTAAAATTTATGTCACAAAAAATTATACATTTTTTATAGACTTATTTGTATGGAATTTTTTTAAAGAATTGATATTTTTACAAGACTTTATCTACATACATTCCTTTAGAAAATGTAAGAAAATAATGTATAAAAAATTTAAAGATACTTTTACATTTGAAAAATGATTTTTATAAATAAAATATATGTGACCATCCTCGAGAGAAGGAACCTTAGCTCCAAAATTTATATTTCACGGGAAATAATAAAAAGCGTTTAAAAAAGAAGCAGAAATAAGGAACTCCAAGAGTGGGACTGAACTTGTCAAAAGTTCTCCCACTAATATTGACTTCTGGTGAACTAAAGACCCTTCTCTCGTGAACGGTTATATATGTTTAATCCAAAGCTTTATTAAAATTTTTGAACTAAACACATGAATGTAATACATTAATGAAAAGCATTGTAATATTATTGTGATGTTGCAGTAATATTACTGTAGTATCAGCTTAACTAAACGAAAAAATATTACAACATTCCGTATAAGAAGAATTTTTTAAAACATTTTTTTGTAATATTCCTTTTACATTACAGCAGCATTACAGTAATATTACCATATAATGTCATTCTGATAATTTCAATATCGCATTGAGTGGACATGTTAATATTATTGAAATTTCAATTTGATATTCTATTGTTGTATTCTAAAAACTACGTTTTTTATAAAATTTGTTGAAAAGGTAAGCAATAGCTATTGCTTACCTAGACTGGAAAATCGTGATCTCACCCCACTCTACCCTATATAGGGTAGAGTGGGGTGAGATCACGATTTTCCAGTCTTTGAACTATATCTGTCGTCCACGAGCTGATAAAGACAAAAACCAAAAAAGGTTTGAAAGATAGACTCTTTGGCTACATTTTACTCCATAGACGGAAGTTCCAGTCTCTTCATTATTTCGAGCTACAGCCAATTTACGCTACCCTTGCAAGTGGTTCATCATAAACCACTTATGTTTTTTTGCAGTAAAAATTAAAAAATGATTTAAAAATCATTGGAAAACATAAAATAAATACAAATTATCACTATTTCATAACACTAAATTTATTCTAGAAAATGAAATCTTTTATAATTAAAAATTAAAAATTAATTAAATTTTTTTGCAGTTTTCAGAGATTGACGCTTTACTTGTTAGAATTGAAATTGCGTTTGGGCTGTCTGACCACAAATTTGTTATATAAAATAAAATCGTTTATGAATAATAATTAAAAATTAAATAAAGACTTATAAAATGCGTGGTGGTGATCTCGCCCAAAGTGTATTTATTAACATAAAAACATAATAACTCTTAAAACACTTTAAAAATTGCAAAATAAACCACACCATCACATTCAGAAGACTCAAATTAATAAGAAACATTGTCCTATAAATTTTTTTTTGTGAAATTTTCTCAAAATAAAATCGCGAAAATGAAAAAAAGTTATAAAACGAATTTTGATTTCACTAATTATTCTGTCATTTGGTTGCTTTTTCACTAATCGGATCGAAATTCAGGGCATATGTGCATAGTGCCATAAGTGACATGAAAGGACACCTATTGAAAGCATTATTATTTTAGTGCACTATAATTAAAGATCGAGTTTAGAACAAAATGGTTATTCTAACTGGTATTACATTAGTGAAGTTCACAACGTTTATGATCAACGATTAGAAGAAAAAAATACTATTTAAACAAAAAAAATAATATTTTTTGTTTACAAAGTATTATTTTATGAATTTTTTGCTGAAAAAATATTGTAAAAAATTTTTATTAGACAAGAATTTGAAGGAAAAATATTTTTTCTCTTAAATCGTTGATCATAAACGTTTTGAACTTCACCAACGTCTGGTATTTCATTATGTCATAGTATTGGAATAACATTTTAATTATAACATAATTTTTTATAGTTTAAAAATTTGGATTGGGCGCGCGTATCGCGCAGAAGTTGTTCTAGTTATTTTAATAATATAACCTGAAATACAACTTACTGTGAATTATGAACTGTCAAAACAGCTGTAATTTTGACTCAAATAATCTATAATTACTTGTGTAATTATTTACAACAACGGTTTTACACCTTTCATAACGTCTCTTGAACTTTTTTAAAATATAAGGCTGCTCGCACAAGAAAAGATGGAACAGTGATATGATTCAAATGAATTAGAAAAGAAAAGAAATGTAGCTCTTTCCTTTTCTATCTCATTTGAAAGACATCCTGCACACTGCTCCGTCTTTTCTTGTGCGAGCACCTTAAATGCTCACACTGCACAGTATGAGTACACTGAGAGACCTTTTGCACCGCATCAGAACTACGTGTGTGACTGCAGCGCCACTATAGGTTTTGGTGCGCTGCATTCTAAATTTTGTATCGTGACTGCCTAAAAATGATAATGAACCTTGCGCATAGAGATAATATAAATAGAGTAGACAAGGTATAGGCGGCTGCGTAAGAGGGAAGTGTCCTGACATAAACAGAATGGGTTGGAAAGAGAAGAAAGATTTAACACCAGTATCTGTCCTTCAATAAGCACCAGCGCAAGAGAGACACCTACTGGTGCTAAAATCGCGTTCTCTTTCTATCAAACGGACGCCTCTATACAGACCATCTCCACTCTATTTATATTATCTCTATGACCTTGCGGCCGTCAACTATTTGGTCAGCTACGCTCCAAAAATTGTACGGCTGCAGACCAAAAACGTAGTTTCATAGCTGACCGCTAGAATGCTCTGCAGCAGTCTGTCGAAAGTCTGCTACGGTGCAAAAGGTCTCTTAGTGTAGTGGATACATGTGAATATGACAACGGTGGCATATAGGCGCTTCCGTACTATATGGCCTAAGAACAACTGACAATGAGATATCATCATGAAGCGGACATTTTGATCTCCACTATATATCACAGGAATATTCTAAAAAATATTCCAATTATATTTATGTGACATGCAGTGCTATTTGGGCAAGGTCACTTTTTTTAGTCAGGGAAATTTTACTGAAATAAACTACAAATTACAAATCATAATTTTACTTTTATTAAAACTGATACAAAAAAAAGTTCTGTAATTCTAGAATATTGTTATAGATCGGTTACAGAATTGTTATAGAATTAAAATTTTTAAAAATTTATTTTGTTATAAAATTGTTACATATCTGTTTTAGAACAATGATCTAGAACATTGTTCTAGAATTTTTACAGATCTTGTTACAGATTTGTACCCCCAGGGGGACGACATTTTTACTGACCTGTTCCTCACCAGTTCTAGAACTTGTTCTTTTTTGTTATAGAACAGTTACAGAACTGTTCTGTAACTTTGCACACTAATGCTGTTATCTGTTAATTCCGTTAAATGACAATATTGTTTTGTGTCACTTCCGTAACCTGACGTTTCTATTATAGCTGACAGTTCGGTTAAACGTCATTTCCGTTGATTGTGGTTTCTGTCAAATGACATTTCGGTTAATTAATAATTCCGTTTATTGACATATCGGTTACTTGTAATTTGTTTAAGTGACATTTCTGTTATTTGAAACGTCGGTTAACTAGCGTGCCCTTTAAATTGGATTTCTGTTATATGTCAATTCGGTCAAATAACAATTCTGTTAAGGGGTTAGTACCACATTTCACTGACTTTTCTTAAATATTTTTTTTATTACAAAATTTATTTTACTCCTTATTTATTATGGATTATCTTGCTGTCATGGCCACCTGAAAATACCTCTACTTGTGATTGGCGGACACGATATTTCCAATTCAGGTCATCAAAAAATAAAATTTTTGATATTTTCTTGAAAAGTAAGCTCGTCCCTATCGTCGGAACTACAATTAACTATTTTCGATGAAAAAAATGGCGGACTTTATTCATTTTTGACCTTGTTTTTTCAACTTAAATTGTTAAATATTAATGAAAAATTATGATTCTAGTTCCGGCGATAGCGGTATATGTGTAGAATAAGACATAAAAATTTGAGCTTAATCGGTGCAATAGTTTTTTTATGATGTCAGCCAGGTCAAAAAACGTTGTTTTGAGAAAAAGCGAATTTACAAAAACATGTACTTATTTTAGAAAATACCCCCTTATGCGTAAGGATACATTATATATGTCGTAGGCCATTAGAAGATTTCGCCAGTTAGCTAACTGGCTAGGCGGTTAGCTAAACGGCGCCGAATAGACAAATGAACTTCATTATTACTTGCATTCTTCTATTGGCCTGAGTAGTTTCGCCAGTTAGCGAAATGCCTAGGCAGTTAGCTATCAGCCTAAATCATTTTAGGCCATTAGAAAATATGAAACTTTCTTACTGAAATAATAATAAATAATAATAATAAATAATAATAATTTTAATCATTTTTGTGAGTTTCAAACAACTTTCGTAGTTTAAAAGGAATCCGCCTAGATTATAAATTTGTAATCTTGGATTTCTCGTGTTTCATTTGACAGTGTTGTTTTTGTTTCTCTTTTCAAAATTATTTGTTCTCTGTTTGTAACGATATTGTATTTAAATTGATTAATTCGAATAGTAGAATATTATAAATAAGTATTATTAATTTTTCATTTCGCGACCGTTGAGAATTAACGTATTATAAAATTAATATTGACAAATATAATTGCTGTTGAATAAATTTTGACAAAATTATTTGCTTAGTACATAAAAAATGAGTGAGTGCAGTGTTAACCGTGAAGAATTTGACGAAAAATTTAAATTAATTTATTCTGCGCAAGAAAGTAATAGAAGCGTTTGGAACAGAAGCCGTTTAGAAGCCGCTATACAGATTTTAAAACAATTTGAAGATGTAAAGTATAAAAAAAGTTGTGCTTTCTATCACTACTCAAAAAAATACGAACTTATAAAACTGGGAGGAGAATATCACGTCATTTTAAAAAGAAAAAACGATAGTGATCCGTTAATTTATGTTATACCGGCTGAGGGTTATTATGAAAAACTATTAGAAGCTCATATTCAGACAGGTCATGGGGGGAGAGACAAAATGTTATACTATATTAAAAAAAAGTGGAAATTATCAAAACAAGCATGCGAGTTGTTTGTCCAGTGCTGCGAAACTTGTACTCGTAAAAAAGCTCTACCAAAGAAAGGCGTAGTTGTAAAACCCATTACAACAAATGGATTTAACATGCGAGAACAAGTAGATTTGATAGATTTTCAGTCTTGTTGTGACGGCGACTTCAAATGGATATTAAACTATCAAGATCACGCTACTAAATTTCTCCATTTGAGACCATTAAAAAGTAAACACGCAAAAAATGTAGCTGATGAGCTTTCGAAAATATTTTTTACATGGGGAGCCCCACAAATCCTCCAATGTGACAACGGTCGTGAATTTGTTGCTTCGGTAGTGAATGAACTGGCAGTTATTTGGCCGCATTGCAAAATTGTCCACGGACGCCCTCGACATCCACAAAGTCAAGGAAGTGTGGAACGATCGAATGCTGATGTGGAGAATATGATTCAAGCATGGATGGTTGATAACAAGTCATGAAAACATTTTCGGAAGAAAATTTCCCAGTTTTAAATATAGGTGACTGCATCACACTTGCTGTTCCAGAGGTAGATCGAGGACCACTTGATTTTAATAATATTATTGGAATTATTACTAACTTTCAAAACGGAGTGTACCAAATAGGCACAAAAGACGGGTTGATTAAGGGTTGGTTTCCTCGAACGGAAATACAAAAATCAGCAGTTAATTCGATAAAAATTAATGAAGTGGTAGAATCTACATTGATAAGTTTAAGAGAGGCTGCAGCTAAACAATCGATTAATGGTGGCCAAGGTTTCAAAAAGTGTAATTGTAGAGCATCACAATTGCAATGTAAAACGAAACGTTGTATTTGTTTTAAATCTGGCACTTTGTGCAATTCTCGCTGCCACCAGAGTCTGCCTTGCTCAAATAAATAAATTTTTTAAAAATAAAATAATTAATGCACCCTGAAAAAATGTTTCGTAGTTTGTTAATTTCCTTTCTCGATTATTTCAGTAAGAAAGTTTCATATTTTCTAATGGCCTAAAATGATTTAGGCTGATAGCTAACTGCCTAGGCATTTCGCTAACTGGCGGATCTACTCAGGCCAATAGAAGAATGCAAGTAATAATAAAGTTCATTTGTCTATTCGGCGCCGGTTAGCTAACCGCCTAGCCAGTTAGCTAACTGGCGAAATCTTCTAATGGCCTACCACATATACATGTATATATGCTTTTATATACATATTTATATACATATATGTGTAATTTGATATATATTTATATTTATATATAAAAGCATACATTGTACTTGCGAAGAGTACGCTTCACGAGCGTGTGATTTTTGCATTGTACCCCGTTTTTCGATTTGTTACCGAAGTTTACAACCAAAATAATAGTTTCTATAGCATTTCTACATATACCTACTACAAGAATATGCAGTTTTTAGACAATCGAAGAAAGATGTGGTACTAACAACCCCTTAACTGGCGTTCCCAATATTTTCGTTTCTGTTAAATGACTATTCCGCCAAATAACAGGTGGTGCATTTTCATGTGCCCCGATTTAAAAACTATATTCCTTATACAAAGAAGAAATAATAAGACTACGTTGTTGTTGTAAACTTTAGAGTTTTTAAAATTTAACTATATACTTAAGTAATATGAACTATTAATTTATTAATTCGATGAAAAATAGTTAAAGTACCTATGAACACTTTAAATTTTAAATCTCAGTTAAATATATACCAGAATTGAACTTCAAAATAATTTTAGAACAGCTACATAACATTGTTCGGACACAGTTCTAAAACTACGTTGGAACGTCAGTTAGATGATTTTTTTGACGATTGTGTTACAGAAATGTTGCATAACATTGTTACAGAACTGTTAAGTTCATAACCAGTTTGTAACAAATGTTCTATAAAACTGTGTCCTCACTATTATAGAACATTTATAGGACGTGTTTGCTGTGTAGAATGTCAATTCCGTTAAATGGTAATTCTGTTACGTGACAATTCTGTTAACTGGAAATTCCGATAAATGACAATTCCGTTAAATGGCAATTACATTAAATGACAATTCCGTTCACTTACAACTCCGTTAAATGTCAATTCCGTTGAATGCCAAATCCGTTAAATGGCAATTACGTTAAATGACAGTTGGCGTCTGTGTGTTCGGGCGTCTTCGGAAAGTAAAGAGAGATGCACCTCGTACACGTGCTTTCGTAGTGAGAGAGAACGGTGTAGTCAGCGCATCTCTCTCTAAATCACGAATACCGACCCGAACTTCAAGTGACGCATGGACACAGTGAGAGGGGAGCTTACGCATCTGTGTGTGAGGAGAAAGAGAGTCAATTCTCTACACGAATCGCTCATGTTTAAATCGTTATTGCAAAAAAACTATTTGATAAAATTTAATTTTGACTTCACATTATTAAAAAGCTCAGTTTTCCATGCACCGTACATGAAAACTAAGCCTAATATTATTTCGGAGATAGGTCCCTTCTCTCGTGGAGCGTTACATATATATATATATATATATATATATATATGTACGTAACGCCTCTTTTCCCATTGTGTACAATCTATAGGGTCCACGATCCTTATCTAAAAGAAACAAACATAATTTTTTCTTGAATCGTACATTATTGCCTTCTGTATTAATAATTTTTTTAAGTTGAAGTTAAAATTTTTTTTTAAAAAGAAGTAAGATTTTTTGCCGAAAATTGAATTTTTTTTAAAATTCATGTAAAATTGTACGATTGTACAATTTATTGAATTGATTGAAGAAAAAACTTTTTTTGTTTGGTTTAGATAAGTATTATAGACCCTAGATTGTACACAATGGAAACGACAGTATTTTTTATATCAAATAAATATTTTTATGTATATGAATTATTATTTGCTATAGGAACATCCCATCTTTTTTCCCAAAATATAGTTTCTGCTTCATAACTTGACGGTGTACATGTTTTTAACCAAGATACTCGTTCACAGCGCTTGGAAATTGTCCAGTATACAAAACTAGCAGGACATTTGTATAAATAGCCCTGCATGATATTTCTTGAATTAAGCTCACATTTAAAAAAAGCAATACTGCATCCACTCTGAAACGGAAAGTAACCTTCCTCTGGACATATTGTTTCAGAAAATACTTTAATCTGAAAAATATATAAATTTTTAGTTAAAGTACTTTTTAATAATTATATGTACTGCGTTATTATGTTTTAAAACTAAATAAACAAGTTTTGTAACTTTTAAGTAATATTAGTTATAGAATGGGGTTACCATTTTTAATTCTTGTTCATTTGTCAGTAATTAACAATTTTGAAAATCGGCGTTTATTATATAATGAAGAATATGTTTACATAAGATCTATAACCTATAATAATTGGATGTTATGTTCACATTCCTGAAAAAACCATTTTTTTTAAATTTCTGTAAAAACTGAATATCCTTCTCGCTTATCTCTTAAAACAAATAATTTCATAGGGATTACGAATTTGATTCTGAAAATTAGAGGATTTTATTTAACAAAAGCAACAACAAGAACATGGTTCATTTTTTAAATAAACAATTAATTTTGCAATAACAATCATTAAAAATAAAAAAATTTTAATTCTCAAATTTTCAACTAAAACTGTATCAGTTTCTCTGTAAGTATACCAATTTTTATAAAGATCCGTTCACTTAGTTCTAAGATATTCATTTTTTAACTGAAGAAATTTAATTTTTTTTTGAAAAATCCTTTGAGGCAGTTTTTCAACTTATAATAATGTTTTAATTTTCTATATTTCAAAGCAAATACAGTACATCTTCAATTTGGGTGATTCACTTCAGGAATTTTTACTCACAGATCTTATTAAGGAGTTAGTCGATCATAACGAATCTGAGGTCAGATTTTTAAAATTCAATATGGCGGATCCAATATGGTGGACGAATTTCTAAAAAGTGATTGAATTTGCTTGAAATTTGTTACTCGTGGGTTTTTAAGGGTACACTTTAACCCTTTCAGTACCATTAATTAGGACACTTGATAAATAGCTACAAGAGGTATAGTACTGCACCTATGGTTTTTTAGGGTCGCTGATTACGAATCTAAAGTCAGTTATTCAAAATTCAAAATGGCGGATCAAATATGTCGGACGACTTTACTAAAAATTAATACAATTAGCTTGAGAATGGTTACTCGGGGATTTTTTGGGTCGCTGATTACGAATCTAAAGTCCGTTTTTAAAAATTCAAAATAGCGGATCCAATATGGCGGTCGCCAATTTTAAAAACCAATCCAATTTCTTGAAAATCGTTAATTAGGGGTTTTTGTGGTCGCTGATTACGAATCTAGAATAAGTTTTAAATCGGGAGGTCATTTGGGGGTTCGCAGATTACGAATCTGAATTTAGTTTTTAAAAATTCAAAATGACGGCTTTAATATGGCAAACGATGGAATCAAAAATAAAACAAATTTGCATGAAAGTTGTTACTCGATGTTTTTTAGGTCACTGATTTCGAACATGAAGTGAGTGACAATTTTCATGCAAATAAGTTTGATTTTTGATTTCATCGTCCGCCATTTTGAATCCGCTATTTTGAATTTTTAAAACTGATTCCAGATTCGTAATCAGCGACCCCAAAAAACCCTCAGTAACGATTTTCTAGTTTCGATTGATTTCTAAAATTGTCGTCCGCCATATTGAATTTTTTAAAACTAATTCCAGATTCGTAATCAGCGACCCCAAAAACCCACAAGTGACAACTTTCAAGCAAAGTTAATAGTTTTTTATTTTTTCTTGTCCGACATTTTGAATTTGCATATATGATTTGAGATTCGTAATTAACATACCTGAAAATATAAAAATACCCCTGATTTCAATTATATGTTAGTAACTTAATTTTATTACAATAAAGGTTAACTTGAAATAATGTGTTGCCGTATATGAATATGTTACTAAAAAAGATATAGATTAATATAGATAAGATAGATTAATTTGTTACAAAACTACTAAATACTACCTAATTGTAGAAACATGAAAATGAAAAATATGCAAATGTTTTAAAATTTTACTTTAAATCATTTTTAATAAATTGATGGCTTTAAAGGTGGTCGATATATCGATCACTGGAGCTGAAAGGGTTAAGACCCATATGCTCAAGATATAAAAAATTTTGAAATTTTTAAGCTTTAATTTAAGCCTATGCAGAAGTCTCTGGCACGTCAGGTTATGGAAAAAAAAATTCTAAAAACCATCAAACACATATTTTTTGGGGTAATTACCCCAACTTTTTAAAAAAATTTGTTTAACTTGCCGAAATGTGTGTTATAGTGAACGATTTATCCTGAATTACTTAAATTACCGTGAATTATCGCGAATTACCATGAATTACTTTGGATAGTTATGAATTATCTTGAATTATATATAGCAAAATCTGTCTTTAATGAAAAATTTAAAGTATATTATTTTAAAAAGCATTTCATATTATCGCGCCTATTTTGATCGCATGCGCACTTGCGTTTAGTCAAATTCCCTAAGTTGGTAACCCTTATCATAATGTCAGCTAATATCAACGTTTATTTTTATAGACTTGAACAAAGTTACGTTTCAGTTATATTGAAAAGAAAACATCAGCATATTCCGAGGCATATTCAGTATTATAGTAGTAATATATGTATTAAAGGATTTTTCGAGGCTAAGAGGAATACGGAGGTTAATTTTTATATTGCACGTGCATTTCTTTTTATCAGTATACACCTTCAAACATATTTTTAGGTTAGGTATACATTAGTGTTTACTTCTTGAAATATTTATCCTATTGACTTTTTTTAATTATGTAAAAATTTATAATTATTTCTATTTTTATTACTATTTTTATGTACAAAATGCTCGACAAAATGTAAATAAATACATTTTCAGGGTGTAATAAAGTTGGACTCTGCGTGGTGGAACCAAACAGAAAATGATTTGAAAACTCAAGTTCCTATCCATTTAAAAAATTTATTGTCGTTAACAGGATTTGATAACGTTTTATCAATAAGTTCTTTCCATGAAAGTCACAAAGCTGAAGTAGAAACATTCGCTCGCTCTGAAGTTGAAGAACTTCGTGACAAAAATAAACCTGCCGAAGAGTATTATAGAGTTTATGCTAAATTTCAGGAAAAATTTAAGTTTCTTCCTGAACATAAACTTATGTTATTGGCTGTAGCTGATTACTGCAAGAAGAAAATGAAAAAGCTAGATTTTGAAACTAACCAGAAAAGCAAATCAAAGACGAACCTACAATCTTCAAAGAAAATTTCAAACGGGGACAAGAATTCAAATTTAGACAGTGAACGGAAATTGGTTCAAAAGTCAATCACCATGGTTTTTCATTGAAGGGAAAACTTGAGGTACAAACAAAAGTAATGTTACTTATTCAACAATTGATATAAAATATTATTATTGTTCCTTATCTTTTAGTCCGTTCGCGTCGAATAGTGCTAAACCACACTATAATGAAAATTAAAAGTTTAAAAGTATTAAAAATTTTGTGTTCTCCTCTTAATTCATGAGTTTTTGTTATTACACAATTTTTTTAACCTTCTTTCTTTAATAATATAAACTACAAATAATTTAAATATGAGCGATCTTGAATTTCATTAATTATTCTGAATTACCGTGAATTACTATGAATTATCCTGAATTACCGTGAATTATCCTGAATTACCTGAATTATTGTATTAGGCGTACACTTAATTTTCTAGTTTTTCGCCCCTCGACCTCCGGTTAAGGAGTAAAGAAATATTGAAAACCCTTACCTTAAAAATACGTTTAATTTAAGCTTATATAGAAGTCTTTAGCACGTCAGGTCAAGAAGAAAAAAAATATTGACAACCCTCAAAACACGGATTCTGGAGATTTTACCCCTCCACTATACTAAAATAATTAAATCTAATATACATCATGTCTTTGAATTAAAGACAAAAAACTTGATATATATATACCCAGCAAACACTGTTAAAGGTCAGTTATAGAACTGTTACAAATTTTTTTAAAAACATGTCCTGTAACTGGTTAAGAACCTGTAAGTCACTGGTTACGCAAAATGTCGTACTCAGCGGATATGTGAGGTTCTGTAACAAATCTAGAATATGGTTACAAATGTATTTGTAACAGTTCCAGAACTTTTTTGTAACAACTATAAAATGGTGTATAACCATTATTGCAAGATTATTACTTAAAAATACATGTAAAATACTTTTTATTCTTAATAAAAATATTAAAACTTGATGTAATAGAAAAAGGAAACTCTAAAATAAACATAGTTAGAACAGTGTCAAATTTCAACTGTTCTATAACAAAATCGCTCTACAGGCTAATACTCTGATTATTCCGCTACCCTAACATGAGAATATAAATACAAAATTGATTTAATAACTTGCGACTGAGGATTTAAAAACTGTATTGCTTACTTAAAAAAAACAATAAAATTATGTGATATATAAAATTTTTAGAGTTTTTTAAATTTAACTACATACTTAATTAAAATGAACTATTTATTTATTAATTCCATAGAACAGATCGGTAACTCCCTTGTAATAATGTTCTAGAATTCTGTTACAATGAGGGGATATAGTTCCGAAAGCGTCTCACCACCGATCTTAATGAAACTTGGTATACTAACGTTCTTTTGTGCCTTGATTACGAAAATGATAGTGAAAATTGGCACAAATGTTATTATCATGGTAGAAACCATAAAAAACACCATAAAATCATGGTTTTTTTCGATTATGACGTAAAAAACGCAAAATTTAAAAAAATGTTTCAAATAAAAGTTGTAGGTCTCAAAAAAACACACATTTTATGTTGCATGCATTTTTTACCAAAAGTCGTTATTTTTCGAGAAAAAACCATAAAACATAAAAAATTACGGAAAAAACAGTGCACATCATAACTAGAGGAAAAGTTAGTACTTGTAAGTATATTAACGTACTTTGATGCGCTGATTACGAAAATGATAGTGAAAATTGGCGTAAAATTGATTATCATAGTGAAAAACATCAAAAACACCATTAAATCATAGTTTTTTGCGATTATCTTGTAAAAAACGCAAAATTTCAAAAAATGTTTCAAATGAAAGTTGTAGGTCTCAAAAAAACACACATTTTATATTCTATGCATTTTTT